ATGATCACTCCTCGACTCTAGTCTGGACTACCCAAATAGAAATAGCCCACGGGCCACGGCCTAGCCTTCGCGTTTATTACATTCAAATGTAACAATGAATAAGCCCAATCGTCGCCCACAAACTCTCCCATTGCTTTACAATTAGTCTAGCATAGTAGCACTCTAGCCTAAGAGACTGAAATATTTGGACCTACCTCTAGACTGCCTTTTGCTATAACCAGCCCAAACCAACGCAAACATTCCAGACCCATCAGGTGGGCCCATACAATGTAGTGGAAAGAAGTCAAGAAAGTGTAGTAGCATTCATTTCCTCTACACTTTTGATATTTTATGTCTCTCCTCCAACTTCAATGTGACATTCAGTCACTTGTGTCCTGGTGGCAATATGAAGTAACTGTCAGGTTGATGGTCATGGCGGCAGACCGGCAACGGAGACCCGCCATTGACTCTCAACTTGGTTTAGAAAAACTGAATCTATTGGACGATCATTTAATATCTGTGGACATATCTGCAAGGAATTGTCCATACAACTCTCAATCAAAATCTGGAAAATATCTCACAGGAAGCACGCAGGAAACTGCTTTCTCAACCACAATTAATTTCACTCAAATTTTTTTATTCTTTTGGACCGTGTCCGGTTTTATAGAAAATAAGAAGAAAACAGAAAATTGAAGTGATGCAATCTTTCTTACTTTAAAAACAAAATCTATATCCAGTATGATAAAAGTCTGCATTGGCCCAGCCCAGTCTGGACAAGCGGAACTTGGGTGGGGGGGGGGGGAGTTTCCACACTTTCTCCCTTTAGCTGCCCCAAATTCCAGCCATGCTATATATATATATATATATATATATAGCCCGCAGGTTAACAATTCATTCATAATCTTAATTGAGTAACCCCGGAGTTCTTAAGAGGTCTATCCTTGTCTCTGAGATGTCAGCATTGGCTAACTAATCTTAATTTGAATTAGCTGAAGGCGATGGAGTTCACCACAGAGGGCGCCCCACAAAGCACATCTCAACGTGCATTAGGAACATCTCCCGCACTAGTCATTGGGAGATGTTCTTAATACAGGGTTGAAAAGTGTTGTGGGGCGCAGATGTGAATTCAAGGCGATGACTGTGTAGCAGGGTGTGAAAGTGAAACCAATGGGCAATGGTGATGCCCCATTCCCGGCTATAAATGTTGAAGTGAGAGATTGAATGGATGTGAGTTTTATGCTGAGTGGCATGGCCGCATGGGGCATTATCACTGTTGGTTCCATACCCTGCTACACAGCCATTGCCTTCAGTTAATCACATCTCTCATAATCTAACGTTTATGTTAGGAGGTGTTTTGTTCCATTGTGTTTTTTCAAATGATGGCATTCCATTTCTTTTTTTTGCAATTTTTGAGAAAACGCTTATGCATTCTGTTGTTTGGTTCCATCATCGTTATTTTTAGGAGCCACGCTAACCACCGTACGGGAAAACACTTTGGGAAAAGACAAAAGGTTAAAATAATACAAAAACCTCCCCTAAAATTTTTCACAATCATAAAAATCTCCGTTATAATTTCACTTTAACAAAAACCCTTAAACTTAAAAAAAAATCAACCATGGTTTTTAAAACTGAACCAATGATCGAACCGGTCAGGGGTCCAACCGTTCGGCCCAAACAGTTGGTCCATTCTGACAAAAAAATTGAAAAATGGTCAAAACCATTTGAACGATTAATCGGCTGGTTCAGTGGTTTATTGACCAAAATCAACGGTTTTGGAAAAAACGAAACCGGTCAGATGACTAGTTTCCGGTTTTTCCGGTCTGACCATCCGACTCAATCCAGTTTTGAAAACCATAAAATCAACAAAAACCTCCCTTCCGTCACTTTCACGAACAGAAAGCCGTTAATGTTACGAAATTGCCCCTGACTAATTGTCAGAGTGTAAACAACGCCCATTTGACAACCTACGATGCTATATTATCTCGGAATACATATTATGAAAGCTCAGTTCCTGCCTCTATATATCCGTTTGATTAAAATGCGGCACTACCTTTACTCTCTTTTCTCTCCGTTTATCTTTCTCTCTCTCCCAAAGGCATTTGCCTGCGTCTACATGGTTTTGCAACTCTCAAAGGCGTCTTTGAGAAGAGAGGAGAAGTCGTCTGCATCTGTATGGTTCAACACAAATAATAGAATCAAAGCAGGATATAATGCAAAAGAGGAGCGGAGAAGGCGTCTTTGGCTACCCATAGCGAGACAGATAGTGCAGTGTTGTAGCAATTCTAAAGTGTGTTTACAATTGTAAATTTCAGCATAAGTGTTCAAAATGACCGTCTGTTGTAGCAATTCTAAGAGATGGGAGATTGTTGCAGAGGATGCTTCATCATTCATTAATGTTTCTTCACCCAGCCAAAACTCAGTGATTTCCATCTGGTTCGACGTCAACAAGCCGATTTTGTGCATCCATCATCTAGATACACAAAATTCTCTCTCTCTCCGGTTGAATGAAGTAACATTGCATTGCAGACACCATTTGTCATGTAAGGACAAAACAAATGATTTCAGCCATTTCACCCTTTCCCTTTCTTTCTAACAATCCATCCCAACTAATGACATCACTTTGCTTCTTTTGATCACTCGTTCAACCCTTCTCTCTCTAAAAGTTCTGCCCTATGACGTACCATGACAGAGACCCAATATTGAGCAGATACAGTAATATATATTTTCAGTTTCCTATAATGTGTTTATTATAGCCATGGACCCTTTAATAGTGATTAGACTCTTCTTACGATTGACAACATACGTATGAGGTTGAGCAGCCGAAAAACAAAAATAGAAAAGCTAAAGGTAACTTGTTCAAGGGTCAAGGAGAAAATTATGAAACGGAGTTCAGTTTTAATTTCCATGAGAAATAAGACTGCATCTGCATGTAGTATTTGGAGACTAACACTGAAAACAATACCCAAGAAAATATGTTTAGTTATAGTTGAGTTTTCTAGCTCTTCTGGTTTTCAAGTAAGCTCATGTCACAACAACCCAAAATTAATATTTCAACTATCAAAGATAAGAAAATGAATTCGAATTCATCTTGTATTTAGGTGTTTAAAAAAAGAGAAAACCAGCGGGAATGCCCATGGTGTTGTAGGAATGGATATACCATGACTGTGAGATGGGAGAAACTTCAAAGTTCAAACTTGTAAATTTTGAGAAATCTCAACTTAGTTTGAAGTTTGAACTAAAGTGATTGTGGGGGCTTTCTGTTAAATACAAAACACATAATACAACAACGCCATCTACGATTTTAAAACCTTGGTAGAACAGGGTCGACTGCTGGTTGTTTTCATAGTCGGCTGGTAGTTAGGGAATAGAGATATGGAAAAGATTAGAAAAGACTGCAAGTGCAAATGCGTGGGGCACGTTTATCGAAAGGAGGTTTTGTCGAGTTAAAACGGGGTTACTTACTTCAGCAATTTTTTTTATGTAAAATCATTCATAAAAGGGTAGTAGAATGGGCACACTAAATCAACATTTGATAGATTATCCAACTCCGAGCAATCTTAGTTATTGGTGGGGGTTCCGGTTCCGTCCATTACCTGGTATTTGTTTAGTCATTCAGATAGTGACTGGCGTTYTTTTAGCTATGCATTACACACCTCATGCGGATCTAGCTTTCAACAGCTTAGAACACGTTATGAGAGATGTTGAAGGGGGCTGGTTGCTGGGTTATATGCATGCTAATGGGGGCAAGTATGTTTCTCATTGTGGTTCATCTTCATAGAAAAAATTGGTGGATCAATCTAACGTTTTCTGTCTGAGAAAGTGGCCAAAGGAAAGTTTTTGTTGAATTTCTCAAAAGTTTAGGGGAGGTATTTATTAAAATGAAACTATAAGAGAGGTTTTTATGATTGTCAGAAGTTTTAGGGGAAGTTTTTGTATTTTACCCAAGATAAAAAATATAAAAAAAAAATTGGTGTTTTCTGAGATCGTCATTTTTGAGAAAACAGTTAACCAAATAGCATATGTCAATGCGTTTCTTTTTTGCCATTTTCTCATCCTGACGTAGCTCCAACATGGTGCTGTTTTCTCAGAAAACAACAATAAAACCAAGCACCACCTTAATATTATTCACCTAGGGTGCAACTTAGGCAAATCCAAGATCCAACCCAAGTCCAGACTGAAGGCTGGGCTTGGACTTTTCGCTCAAAACCTTGGGCTTTTCTATTTTCAAGCTGGGCTGCCTACCTTAGGTAGCATGAATCCAACCTGAGCCCAACGCCTATACACATGCATAAATACATGCATACTTGTATAAAAAATATACAAAAATCCTATTTAAAGGTTTAAATTAATGATACTAAATAGCATTATGCAACGCTTTGGTATATTGGACTTAACAGGCCACTTGTACCCAATTGGACTTACCTTGGGCACTGCGGACTCAGGCCCAATATTTAGGGTTGAGCCCGGGTTGACCTTAAACAGTTAAACTCGACTGAGGCCTCTCGACTTGCACGAATT